GATCTGACCCCCTTAGACTTTTATCTTTGGGGTCATCTGAAGGCAATTAGTTTGAAGTTTAATACAATGCCTGTCAGTTTGATTTACGAAAAAAAAACCACGTTTTTATGCCACGGCATTACTAAACATCAAACACAAACATGGTATCCCTACAGGGGAACAACACGTCTATTGCAGGCTGTTATTTCTCACTCCTCTGAAAAGACATGCATAAAAAAGAATTGATGTAATTAAGAAAAACAGGTTTTGACAGATACTGTGGAACTTTTGGTACAAAGCACTCACAAAGAAACAGTTTTAATTATAGGGTTTATCGGGTTGCACAGAAGCTTTTTTGGACTTAAAGAAATAAATCTAATTTGGAAAAAAAAGGCTAATTGCAAATGGTATAAACCACTTCTTACTGGATTACATTTTTATATAAACTGATGCTGTGTCAGATGTTGCCAGCATGCCCCTTTCAATTAAACAGGCTTGTACCTAAATCATGAAACCCCGGGTTAACTTAGGGAGTTGATAACCAGTTTTATGTGACCGCTTCTCCTGATTGCCAAAGGATCCAGACAACACAAAGATACTCTGGGTACTTCATAGTACAGGGACCTGATTTTTGAACTATAGTTTACTACGTGATATTACAAGCTGTGGTCCTTCAGTTTCTAAGTGAGATTCAGAGATTCATCATGTCTGTGAAATGTAGGTGACATCACAGTGGCGATGCTTTTACACCAATCAGGCCAAACATTCTAAGCACTAACAGGTGAAGTGAATAACTCTGATTATCTTTTCATTATGGCTCCTGTAACTGGCTGGGATATCAAGGAACAAAGGAATATTTTCTCCTTAGACTCTATGTTGGGAGCAAGGCGAGCGTGAGGATGTCAGCAAGTTTGACAGTTTAGGTCAGAGCATCTCCGAAAATCAGAGCTCCCTGATGGCTGTGGCCTCTTTCAGCAGGATAATTCACCCTGCCACAAAGGAATAATGGTTCAGGATTCAGGGTTTGAGGACCACAACAGTGAGTTTGATGTGTTGACTTGGTCTCCAATTTTCCAGATCTCAGTCCAATTGAGCATCTGTGGGATGTGCTGGACAAACATGTCCAACCCATGGAGGCCCAATCTCATAGCTTACAGACGTAAAGGATCTGCTGCTGATATGTTGGTGCAGATACCACAGCATACCTTTCAAGGGGTGTAGTAGAGTCCATGCCTTGATGGGTCAGGGGGACCAACACAATTTAGGCAGGCGATCATAATATTAGGCCTGATCAATGTATATTCTAGTGATTTACCTCATGTGTTAAACTAATGATTAGTTTAACAGAATCATGGATGGAGCTCAGATCTGACTGAAACTGATATGAACAGTTTAATAATGAGAGTCTGGAGTTTGGAGGACAGCTCAGTTCAGCTTCAGGGTCTCGTGGAACTTGGTGACAATTTCATGAAAACAGTCATCTTTGGCTACCTGCTCCACGACCTCACGGACTCCGTTCTCTAAAGCCTGATAGTACCTCCTCACCTCCTCCAGCTCAGACTGCAGTAGTTTCTCCACCTGCCGTTTCTCCTCCTGAGACTCCATCAGCTTCTTCTTGTATTTTAATTCCACTGCTTTGATTTCCTCCTCCAGCTTCTTCTCGTAGAAGTGTTGGAGCTCCGACTCTCTGTGCTTCAGCATCTCCTCCACCTCCACATAGGTGTAGTTGGAGTAAAACTCTCCTCCGTTGTCGGTCACCATCTTGTCCACCTTCTCCAGCAGATCCAGGACCTGGCCACGATCATCAGTTCTGCGGTTGTTGAAGACGTGGTATCTATTTCCAGCCTTCTTCAGGACCTCCTGCAGCTCAGCTCCTGCTGTCTTCAACATCTGATCAAAGTCTGTCTTAATTTGGTCTCCATGGGTGAAGAGGATCATGGTGTACCTCCAGGCACCCTCTCCAAAGATCTCCTCCACCTTCTTCACAGCGTCTCGTTCCTCTGCAGAGAAGTACCCCACCCTGATGACCAGCAGGATGGCGTGGGGCCCTGGGGCCGACATGTTGATGCATTTGGAGATCTCCCTCTTTACGGCGTCTTCAGACAGAGAGGTATCGAAGAGGCCGGGAGTGTCGACCACAGAGATGGTCCTCTGGAACACCTTCTCCTGCTGCTTGGAGCACTCAGCTGTCACTGAGGAGGAAAAGATATTTACTCATGAAGGGAACCAAATAAATCATTCATTTTCAACCTGACTGATTATTAGTTACTGATCATGATGCTTTAAATTATTAATAGCAAACATTCATATACACAACATTGATACAATAATAACTACTACAAATACTGGCTTTGATTTTGCCAAAAAACAAAACAAAAGAAAATTAAAAAAAATAACATTTGGCTAAACAAAAAAGGTCAAGGTAAAAATAAAAAACAACAACAGACAAAACAGCTGAGATTAAAGTGATTTTAGTATGGGCAGAAATCTGTGCCATCAGAAACTGAATTTGAATTGCTCAGATTGAATCTGAATTGTAACTTGAATAAATGCTTTTGAAAACTGAATTTGAATTAGTCTAA